ACAGACACTGAAAGCCAGAACTCTTGTTATTCTACATCTGATAGGAACTTAATTGGTGAAAATGATGATATTCAGTCTAATGGCAACGCTTGCGACTCCCTCCAACAAACAAATTATTTGGGATCAGGTAAAAGCCTTAAATTGATTTTTATTAATTAAGGCTCTGCCAAGCTTATGATAATGCCTAGATTCAGAATATTTATTTTATATTTTAGTTGATGTTTCGTCAACCTTTAACATTTAGACACTGAAATTTTAGACTGACCCTAAGATGTGCATCTTCCATTTTGTGGTCGAGCATATCTTCTTGAGTGGAACTTTGTTGTTGCTTTCATTCACTTGAGCGTACACATATTGGGCCAACATTTACCTACGGAATATATCTATAAACAAAGAATTTCCCTTGGAACGTCATCTCCCTTACGGAGCCCAGCTGTAATTCTCAATTTAAGTCTCCAGCAAGCTTCGGCATTTACTTTGGGGGAAGGATTCCACTGAGGGATTCAAGAACAGACTTGTGTAAACTCATAAAATGTTTAAGCAATGGATAAATGAAAAAGTGGAGAATATATTCGCTTAAGTTGACACTACAACACCAGCTTACGCCATCTCATAGATACACAAGGAACAGTATCTTTACACATTATTATTAATAAAAAAGGAATGATAATGCGTAGTTTTTCGCGATTTTTATGCAGGCAAGGAAAGAGGGTGAATATTTGCTATATTCAGGGGGGAATTGATATGAATTTGTTAAATTGACAAAGCAATTCATTACAGATGACATGTCATACGTTTCGTTGTGATTTTATTATAACCAACATTCCAATTCAGGGCGCTTTTCGCGCTCTAGCCCTTAGGTCAAGAGAAAAGGGTTGTAAATAAGTTAGTTTTAAATGATACTGATATGAGCATAGCACATTCTTCACCTGATACATTAGGCTTTATCAGCAGATGCATGGGCTCTTTATTTATAATTGGATATCAAAAGTGGGAGGATGCTTAATGAGAGAATCAAGATTGACGTCCAATTCATTGGTTAGATTTATGAGTTTATTTTTCTATTTAGCAGTATAGTAAGAATAGTTTAGATGATTTATCCTACTTAGCCAGCTGAATAGCAATATTAGGTTAAGATTGGAAATAGGAATGGATAATAGTTTACTGTTTTCGGATGTCTTGCTTATTAACATAGAGGAATAATCGGACAGGCACTATGGGCAAACAACAAATGTTGACTTTCTACTTAACTTTTTCTCTAATCGTAATTGCAAGACGTTAAAATCAATGACTATTTGAAATACAAGATTAGCGAATAAAAACATTTAAGTATAATTGTTTTATATTTCTGAGTAATACGAAATGCGTTTTTGAATACGAAAATAAATGAAAAAACATATTCCTTTTGTCGTGTCCTGATTATTTCTTAGAACTAGCTATCTAACAAGATGGGCGAATTGGTAAAAAAATGATAAACGGTTTTCGATAAAAAAATATCACATCTTAAGTAGTTCAAAGAATATACTTTATCTAGACCAGATTGATATAAAATTGTATATTCATGCGGTTGCTTTTTTCTTGGTGGCTGAACACAATAAAGTCTGTGGAGGCTATTTGATTCACCGATCAGCATTAGCGTAACAATGACAGTAACTGTATATGGGGCAGGGTGTTCTCAAACTTGTCGTTTTACTAATATCTGCCACTGGGCGCAGAATTAGGGAGGCTATCAAAATCAATAGATTAACAAATAACTTTGAATCTCAGGTGTACATGCAAGAGCTACTTGTGCATTATTGATAGATTTAAGAATAGAGGATTTAGTGTCACCTGGAAAAAGATAACTCTTGTTAGCCAAAGATAAGATTAAGATGATGGGGTCCTTTGTTTGGTCGCAGTCTTTTTTAGCTATACTTTTGGTTTGACTCCGTTTTCGCAATTTGGTCGTGGCAACAGGGTAGCCTTTTGGGACATACCTAGTTCCACATCATCTGGCATATTATTCATGATTTTCAGTATCAGACCCTTAACTTGTTACATTCTCAGACGTTTAGCCGGCATTTTCAGCAAGAGGCGCCATCGTTAGCGCATAGTCAATTTACCAGTGACAATCCTCTTCACCAATTATCTGTTCAACCGTTGTTACAACACCTCTTATCCCTATTCTTTGTCTTATCTTCTAGTACTGCATCTTTCCCTCAACCCCACTTAATTTGACCCATTTAACTATTCAAAGCATTCTGTTCTCGTTTTCCTCCTTCATCTAAGAGTGTGTCGCTTCAAGTAGATTCAATGACGCATAATCATCCCTACCACCGGCTTCAGATACCGTTCGCATGTTCATTGTGGTAATGAACTGGATCAGCTCATAGTAATATTACTTGAGAATAATTATCCCTTATGTCTGATTAAAATAGCATTAGATTAATAAAGAATACCTTTTTATGTGGTAAATACGTAAATGGAGACAAGGAGACCTTTTCTCATGTTTTGTCTTTGCCTTCGTGGGTTTTCTCTAAAAAGATGAGCGAATTAGTAAGTGTGGAATAAAAACAGTTTTAGGGGAAACTACTACATAGATGTATTCACCCAATTTCTTCATTTATCTCCACTCTTAGAGAGATAGTTTACCTATTATCCAGATCGCATTGCTATAAAATACTGTGTTCATGTGGTCGCTTTGATGTCGGAGGGCCTTGTCCCATTCTACAAAGGGTGGCTAACCACAAGACGGAAACCTGACATGAGCTCGAATGGTCTCAAACTCTTCATTTTGCTGATTATGTAGTGTCTGCGGCTAAGTGTAAAATTAAAGAAGCTATCGAAGTGAACCAAATAGGGAATGCATCGAATATAAGGAATATCGACAAGAAGTTAAGTATAATCTACTTGTACTTTATTAATAGACTCAAGGATAGAGAGGATGTTGAGCTGCCTGCAAAGAGGAGGTTACTCAACTAGTCTTGCTTATAATCACGGTCAATTCTCTGTACTTTTTAGCCCGCATGGAGATATAGGCTCATCAACATAACCAGACGTGTGTCCAAACTTGCGCAACCGGAGTGATGGTTACAATATATGGTGTAATGGTGGCCATCAAACATTGATAGCCGAAAGGAGACGTTACTTTTTCTGTTCTAATTACCTTGAGCCATCACTGCTGGTTTCGTACTTATGCGTACTCATGCAAGTACTCACACACATTCATATGCTTCGAGGTCGACGTATGACTACCTAACCAAATCACTATGTCTCATCGAAGAACTCAGATATAGGGTATATATGCGGCATTTAGGGGTGAGTCGATGAGTTTTCTTGACTCGTTAGCTTGAGCTTGAGGATGATACTCTGCTCTGATGATGTCAGTCCTACAATGGACGGAAGTTTAGCACGTAATCTCCAGAATCGAAGGGGGTCGCCTCGAAAACATCGCCAATAAAAATAGTCCAGTAAACCTATTCGACGGCTGGTCAAGAGGTATCTGCCGTCGTCTTCTGGTGGGATTGTCCTTTGAATCTTCACCAAAACTTTTAGTCGAAATGACGTTTAATTTAACAATTACTGATCAAGAGATTGTTCGGAAAACAACTTTCCTTCATATATATTAAGCTAGATATATACCCTAACCTTTCTGTTATTATATATGTATATATTTTTATTTATTTATTTATTTAGGGAATAAACAATTGGCGAGTCGAAACTTAATCAGCTTTGCCCCATTGCTATGCCTCTATATAAACTTTTTCAATACCTATATATAATCTGTAGACCAACAAGATAAGTCTGCCTAGGGTAATGTTGACCCAATATGTGCACTCTAAAGTTAGTTGAAGGCTTTTCTCTAGAAAATATGTTGGGTCATTAAATTGTAGATATATTGTGCTCATCCTAGTGTCACTTTAAATTGTCATTGAGAAATTGTTTAAATTTATTATTACTTAATGGCCAATTTTTAGGTTGGAGTACGGAGAACTCTGAAGGACTTAGGGTTCATTGCTTGATCTTCTTTATATACTTGATCTACTTGTCTGATATGTTGTTTTATTATAAGCTTACAATATTTGCCATTTTTGGGCGATCGATTCCTTAATTAATTCACAACTTCATTATAGTATGGAAATTATATACAAGATATTTTTTGTCTATATTGCAAAAGATTGCACTAGTCCTAGTTTGAAGTCCAACGATAATTTGTCATCGAGTCAGTCTGATTGCCTACCTGAGTCAAGTTCGCATCTGCACAGCCCATCCTTTACTGCTGGCACTCTGATATCTCCACCAGGACCCCAACTAAGCGAGGAACAGCGTCGGCTCCATCGCCTGGCATCCCTCCCACGCCTCATCGAGGTCGAAAGAGTGCTTATATTGGAAGCTAGTGCTGCTCTACAGGAGTGCCAAAATCGGGACAAGAATTCTGCAGCTGGTGCCATTCACTCGAATAAGTGGGGAGCAGGAGAATCTCTACTTCTTATGCATATTGAGAATAGCAAAAAAATGCTTATTGCCTGTAAGCCATACATTGTCCTTCTTTCTTTGCGTATATGCAATTCTCTTTATTTGAGGCATACTCATTTGTTATAGCACTTAGGGATGAATCAGACAAAACTTAGGTGTAATCTTTGTTTTAATGAGATCTTCACTATTTATAATAGTAGTTAAACACATCTTTCTTGGGATGGTAGTTTCACCATGTTAACGGCGAATCAAAACCGAACTCCTGCTGGACCAATCGTCTACATTTGAAATGTATGATTTCGCATTGATTTTTTGTCTTGAAGATTATCTTTGTTTTTAATATAATGGATACGAAGAGTAACTGGGTTTCAATTAATCTCCTGAGAATACATTGTTGGAGAGACTTTCATTTCGTATGGACATGCAGGAAGAAGAGGTTTGTAGGTCGATCTCGCCAGAAGAGGATGGCTGAATCCCATTGTACTGCAGCTATTTGGCTTTAATATGATGTTGACAAGGTTGACGCAGTCCACCGGGCCTCTCTTCTTTCGGATGAAGACAGGTTGAGCTTTTGCCCATCATATGATGGACATCCTCAGAGCTGTAACTCACATCTTAGCGAGCAATTATATGGCAAGACTTGAAAAGCACTTCCTGAATAAGGCAATATTAACCCCTAAATTTTGGGTTAGATAAAAGAATGACTATTTTGTCGTCTGTCCTCATGGTAAGAAAAGTTGAGATAGTTTCTTACTTTCACTTAATCGGCCTGAAAGGAACATTAGGTTTTTGAATGGAAGTGGGATAGAATGAGTCCTTACCCTCTTTAGCTGTTTTCATCATTAGACAAGAGGGTAAGTTATGAAGATATATTTATAGGAGGCCAACATATGTTGGCTCTGCTTGATTTTATTTCCAACCACAGTTACAAAACCAAAGTTGGAATTTGAAAGTCAATTATTATTAGGGGTATGAGGCTAGTGGATAGCAACCATTTG